CACTGCGTTGGTTTTCCCCGAAGAGGAAGGGATGATGCAACAAAGTAGCGTAAATATTTCCCTCAGTTTTTGAGAACCAAGGTATCAATCCAGTAGGAGGCTACGCGCAAGTCCCTCGTACCTGCACAAAACAAATAAATCCTCGCAACCAACGCAAATAGGAGTTGTCAATCCCTATGAGGCCACTTACGAGAGTGAGATCTGATAAATGTGATAAAGATAATATTTTTGGTATTTTTATGATAAAGATGCAAAGTAAAATAAAGGCAAAGTAAATAACAAAGTAGTAGGAGAACAATATGATGAAGATAGATCCGGGGGCCATAGGTTTCACTAGTGGCTTCTCTCGAGAGCATAAGTATTCTACGGTGGGTGAACAAATTACTGTTGAGCAATTGACAGAATTGAGTATAATTATGAGAATATCTAGCCATGATCATGTATATAGGCATCACGTCCGAGACTAGTAGACCGACTCCTGCCTGCATCTACTACTATTACTCCACTCATCGACCGCTATCCAGCATGCATCTAGAGTATTAAGTTAAAAACAGAGTAATGCCTTAAGCAAGATGACATGATGTAGAGGGATAGACTCATGCAATATGAAGAAAACCCCATCTTGTTATCCTCGATGGCAACAATACAATACGTGCCTTGCTGCCCTTACTGTCATCGGGAAAGGACACCGCAAGATTGAACCCAAAGCTAAGCACTTCTCCCATTGCAAGAAAGATCAATCTAGTAGGCCAAACCAAACTGATAATTCGAAGAGACTTGCAAAGATAACCAATCATACATAAAATAATTCAGAGAAGATTCAAATATTATTCATAGATAGACTTGATCATAAACCCACAACTCATCGACCTCAACAAACACACCGCAAAAAGAAGATTACATCGAATAGATCTCCACAAGAGAGGGGGAGAACATTGTATTGAGATCCAAAAAGAGAGAAGAAGCCATCTAGCTACTAACTATGGACCCGTAGGTCTGAGATAAACTACCCACACTTCATCGGAGGGGCTATGGTGTTGATGTAGAAGCCCTCCGTGATCGATGCCCCCTCCGGCTGAGCTCCGGAACAGGCCCCAAGATGGGATCTCGTGGATACAGAAAGTTACGGTGGTGGAATTAGGGTTTTGGCTCCTGTTCTGATTGTTTGGGGGTATGTGGATATATATAGGAGGAAGAAGTACGTCGGTGGAGCAACAGGGGGCCCACGAGGGTGGGGGGGCGCGCCTGGTAGGGTAGGGCACGCCCCCCTACCTCATGGCCTCCTGTTACGTGCCTTGGCATAGGGTTCAAGTCTCCCGGGTCTTATCTGTTGAGAAAATCACGTTCCCGAAGGTTTCATTCTGTTTGGACTCCGTTTGATATTCCTTTTCTTCAAAACCCTAAAACAGGCAAAAAAACAGCAATTCTGGGCTGGGCCTCCGGTTAATAGGTTAGTCCCAAAAATAATATAAAAGTGGATAATAAAGCCCAATAATGTCTAAAACAGTAGATAATATAGCATGGAGCAATCAAAAATTATAGATACGTTGGAGGCGTATCAGACCTATTCATCATCTCAGCAAATATGTGAGTGGAAGAAAGGAGTGAACTAGACCAAATGTACCTTGTCCGATGTTGAAGATGGATCAATGATCACTCAATAATGTATTATGGAAATAGCACAATTGGTATCGGATTTTGTCTATTCTCACACCTACACAAAAAGAGCCTTTGGAGTAGCATGGTGAGGATGCTGGCACAAAATTTATGCAATTGTTAGCAAGATTTCAATAATGTTGAAAGAGATTCACAAACTTGCAAGTGTAACAAGTAGACCAAAGCAATATGAGGCACACGGAAACACACGCACAGATAGATAAATGGGGACGTGCAACCAAGGAACGAGCTCAAAATGTGGAATCCACGGAAAATGCTCTTGTTGCACAACACTAGAGAGACACTAGCATGATTGCTCAATAGATGAGATACGATGCTTGTGCACAACCTACAAAGCAAAAATGCAACTGAGTTCTATCCCAAGTATGCTATATGTATGATTCTCGGTGATTCTCTTAAGATGATCCAAGATGATCGAGTATGGCAATTTGGATGCAATATGGTATGATACTACGACTCTTGCTTACAAGCTTCTTTGTTCTCTTTTTGCTTAAAAGCTTTTCTTGCTCTTTTGATATTGTCCTTTGGCCACTTATTCAAAACGCTGGAATCAAGATAGCAATGGTGTATGTGGGAACAAATGAGGACACAAGAGATAATACGATATATGCACGCAATAGAAGGAAGTGACGCAAAAGTTTGGCTCGGGGTTAAGAATGCAATGGCAAGGGAGAGTATACGAAGGTGTCGTCGAGGTTACCGCCCTTGCTTTCTGTTGGTGGTGTCACGATGGTGAAGTGGTTGTTGTCGATGACGAATCTGTGGCGAAGATTAGTGGTGGTGATGTCGATGTCAAACTGTCCCTAATCCAACAAAACATCATCACACCAACAAATCACAAAAAAATTGGTAGGGTATTTTTGTGGGGATTTTCGAAATTGGGCAAGAACACACAAAATTAGGCTAGAAAATGAAGGGGAAGAACTCCAAGGTGTAAATCAACGTGGCTCTGATCCAAGATGTTGTAGGGTGGAACCCTAATAGGTTGATCTTTTAATGCTTGGAGGGGGAAAGAGTGCAAATCAAAGAGAAACACAAGAACTCCCAAATAGACTTGATCCAATCACACATGTGCTAGATCCACATACACAAAGAGGTAACAAGGGTCCAAATCCAAGAAAAGGGGATACAAAAGGGGCACTAGCTCATCTCAATCCTAGGGGGAAGGAGGTCTTGAATCCATGAAGGATCTTCCCATGAAGGGGTCTTGAATCCACTTGGGGGATCTTCTCACATGGAGGCCTGATCTCCATGGGAGTAGGGGTACAAGTGGATGAGCAAAGCTCTATCTCTAGTTTGAGCTATCACAATGCTAACCCTAAATCGTAGGTAGAGGAAGGGTATATATAGTCTAGGGGGCGAAGGGGTACGTGGGCCTCGGCCCAGATACACTGCGCGCAGGCAGGAGGGGCTGGATGTCCGGGCCTTCACGTCGGGTCGGATGTTCGGGCTGGCGGGGGCCGGTTTCGGGTTCTCTCTGTATAGGAGGTGCTGGATTTCCGGGGCTGGGCCGGATGTCTGGGGCTGAGCCGGATGTCCGGTGTGTGTAGGTGGTCTTCGATTGAGCTGCTGCTGTGGTTGACATCTCCAGGGGCCGGATGTCCGGATGTCCGGGGCCTGTAGGCCTTCTCCGGTTCCTTTTGTCGTGCTCCTTCGTCCATGTACTTGGGGACTTGTCCGTTGTCACGAGCATCTCCGAGAGGGTGTTCTTCATACCTAATCAAACATAGCATTCCGACTTTAGGTAGTAGCCATGTCTCACGTGGGTCATAACGGAATATTACTAAGGAGAGATGTCACCTCGGTCTCGAGAGCTCTTGCACGTGCTTGTGTCACCGGTCCACTTGGCACTTGAGTAGGCGAAGGCTGGTCTATGGGGATGACCGAAGGATGCTCCACATCTAATTGGCTCCGACCCTACTCAAGATCCAACCCTCTATCCTACGTGGCACGCCACATGGATGATCAACAATTGTCAAGGCCAATCAACACAAATCAAGGAGGTCAACCATAGTCGAAACAAGCTCCCATGGGTCCAAGCGAGCCACCCCGGTCAAGGAAAGTCCAAGCAAAGTCATCATGGTCAACAAGTCAAAGAAAGAAACTTGTAAAAGAACAAGTCAAAGGAGCAAAGAAGCCCAAGCCCAAGCCCAAGCAAGGAAGCCTTCAACGCTACCACACATCTCCAAGCCCAACTAGAGGCATATGGCCCAAAGGACGCCAAACTATCTTGTTCTACCCTCCCACCTCCTCAAGGGTAGCCTTGGTCATTAGTCAAAGACCCCTAGCCTATATAAGCCCCCCCACCCCCCAATGGGAATGTAAATCTTTCACTCCCTACTTGAATAAACTCAAGAGAAGGATCACACTCCTCACCTAGCTCTCTTTGGAGAGCTAGCGAGGCCGAGATTCGAAGTCCAAGGAACCTAGTAAGGCTTAGACCAGTGGGGGTCGTGGGACACCTCAGGTGTCTCGTGCGTTGGGCACTACCCTCGACCACTTTTCGGGAGTTGCGGGACTCCAGAAATGGCAACACAAGTGTCCCATTCGCTAGGCACCACTCTCGACGACCCTCCCATAGGGACATAGCTCGCGCTCCCACGACGTGACTGAACCTATTTAAAAAACATCATTGTGTCATTTTAAGTGTACGTCAACCTTTGCTATAAGGCCGCTGTACATACCCCTGCCTGGTCATCACTAATTACGTTGCTAAGGATACCCCTCGTCAAAAGTTGTTTCTTGAACAACATTGGTGCCGTGTTAGAAGTCAGCTCGACTATCTAAGCTAGTTGGCCCCGACCAAAATAGCCTGGATAGAACCGCCCAATCTAGTTTGACCACCTGTGAAGCCAAGGCCTTGCTCGCCTCCAACACCATCTTGCAAGGAGGAACGGTAGGAAGCTCCTTCGCCTTGAGATGCACCAGGACATGGTGACGTCCTCAGCATGCACCACCAAGGCATCCCTTGCCTCAAGATCCAGTCCAGGCACCAGTTGAGGAACCTCAGGAGGGGTAACCGCCTCCAACTCTGCCAAACGAGCTCGGAGTGCCTTCATGTCCTCCTTATTTTGAATTGCCGGATCTGCATTCATCAGCACATGTCTATAGTTCTGTTCTGGACCCCATAGTTTCTTATCTGCCTGTAGTGCACATTTCACAGTTCATATTTCTGTAGTCTGTTTTGTAGGCCCCATAGTTTCTTATCTGCAGTGTAGTGCACATTTCACAGTTCATGTTTCTGTGGTCTGTTTTGTAGGCCACACACCCGTAGTTTGGTTACTTCGCTCTCTCATCTTTAATCCTTCCCCTCCTGTTTGCAGGTTCCAATGTTTGAAAACATGGACGAGCAGCTCCTGGATGCAATGTGTGATCGTCTAAAGCCCATGCTGTACACTGAGGACAGCTGCATAATTCGAGAAGGAGACCCCGTGAATGAAATGCTTTTTGTTATGAGAGGATATCTCGAGAGTATGACGACAAATGGTGGACAGAGCGGATTCTTCAACTCCAATGTTCTCAAAGGTGGAGACTTCTGCGGTGAAGAGCTCCTCACTTGGGCTCTTGACCCCGCTGCAGTTTCAAACCTTCCCAGCTCAACCAGAACAGTGAAGACATTGTCTGAAGTTGAAGCCTTTGTTCTGAGGGCTGATGACTTGAAGTTTGTAGCCACCCAGTTTAGGAAACTCCATAGCAAACAGCTCCAGCATACCTTTAGATTCTACTCACAACAGTGGAGAACCTGGGCCGCTTGTTTTATACAGGCAGCTTGGCACAGATATTGCAGAAAGAAGCTAGAGGATTCTTTGTTTGAGAAGGAGAAGAGGTTACAAGCAGCTATTGTAAGTGACGACTCTACCAAGCTCAGTCTGGGCGCGGCACTGTACGCCTCGCGTTTTGCTGGCAACATGATGCGGATCTTACGGAGAAATGCTACCCGAAAGGCCCGTTTGCAGGACAGGGTGCCTGCAAGGTTGTTACAGAAGCCGGCAGAACCCAACTTTTTTGCCATTGGAGAGTAATTTTGACATACCCTGCTACAAGCAGAAAGTCACAACCCAACTGGTAAAGTTTGTTCTTATGCCCTCATCTTCTCCCAGCTCGGCTCAGTTTATGACTGGATGCTATACATAGATAGACCGCTTGTTCTGCATCCTTGTAATTTATATAATGCAATTCAATGTATTATTGCTTTTCGTTGTCTATACATGTGCTGTGTTTGTATATTGAAGGTATCTATATAAGCATTCCACATTTATTCGTACCTGAATTGGAAAACATGAAACTCTTGAATGATGTTTTAGGCTGGAAACTCTAAATGTAACTGGTCATTTCTTCGTTCCAGCACACATGCTTGTAGGACAAACAGTCCGCTTGGGAACCAAAGTTCGTAATTGGTCGTACACCATGCCAACGATTTTGAAAGACCACCAGTTATATATCACTATTAATGGCTAGCAAATATGCCCGTGAGTTGCAACGGGATAGGTAATTGTGTGCCTGTCAATCAGTGTGGCACAATGGTGTCATTCGGTGGCAGCAGGGAGGCGCACGCCTAGGTCTATCAAAAATGCATATCAACAGTGTATTAAGAGCCATACTGCAGTTTCCACAAAAAAAACACCAAAAAACATGCTATAGATATGATATTTTTGGTATGATTTCTCTACGACAGTTCTGATCACACCATAGATAAGCCGTCCTCCCTCCATCTATTTTTGCGGGGCCTAAATTTTAAATTTATCATACCAACGGTATAAAGTTGGAGCAATTTTCAAAGCTCGGTTTTGGCCAACGGGGGGCCCATACCTTTTCTCTAATTAATTGTGTATATTAGGCTAGCCATAGTGGAGGTAACTTAGACTAGTCATAGTGGGTAGTAACTTAGAGGAGTAACATGCATATGTTACTAGTTTATGTTACTACCCCTACAATGAGTAGTAACATATGTGTTGTATCATGCATCACTTCATTTATTAGGTTGTAGACTCATCTTTTTTTGATATGTGTGATGTTACAGTAACTAGTTATGTTACTACTTGCCTCTCTTTCTTCATTAATTACATGCCACATCATTGCCTAGATAAATGTGATGTTACCACCTATGTTACTCCCACTGTGCGTAGTCTTACGTAGTAACTTAACACATCCCAAAACAATTTTGCTTATGTGGCAAGTATTTAATGAGGAAAGAGGTGCTTGTGGTAACATAATATGTTACTGTAACATAGCGTTTCCCGAGGCAAAATAAGTCTATGAGCTAATAAATGAAACCATCTATGATACTACTACTTACTTACTTTGCACTATGGAGGTAGTAACTTAGACTAGTGTTATATGGATGACACTAGTATAAATTACTCCCCACTATGACCAGCCTTAATAGCATGTAGACGCTCAGCTTCTCCGCTATTAATTGTGTTGCTCAATTATTTTTTTTTTCAATAAAGGGTGAAGTTTATTAGCTTAAAATAAAGCATCAAGGGACACACTGAGCCACACATCCAACTCCAGCGCGCGCACACGATCAATTTTCACCTCCTTTGATTGGTAACTGCCCGTGCAATCAATAGATGCGATAATATTTTTAAAAGGGGAAAGCTGCATGCGAGACTATATTTATTTTTTGAGGGGTATGTGAGACTAGATGTGAGTCTTTAAAATAGAACAATAATATTTGGTAACAGTGTGCCCGATAGCAAAACTACCATACGATCTTCCCCCTCGTACGGGGTGAGCACCTTCCCACCCACGAGGCCGAGCGCCGTACCAGGCCCAACAGAAAGAAGCCCAACGCACTCAACCATCCCTCACGATGCACCGTACCACATCCCAGCTTTCCCCCTCCCCACCACCCCCGCCTCTCCCCTACCCTGCTACTCAAATCAACACCAAAAACCTATCATTCCTCCAGATCCGGAGGAAACCAGAGGCCTAGTACTCTGCATACATCAAACCAGAGGCTAGACGGTGGGAATTACCAGGGATCCGACGGACGACTCACCAGACGACATCACTCCACCCCCTGGTAAGAAACAGAATCATCCAACATCTCTCAAAAATTCTGCTTACTACAAAGACTTACCCCCCCCCCAAATCTGTGCAAAAATTACCATCCCTTCCCAGATTGAAACAGAATCAACAAACTTCTTTGATAATTCTGCCTATTACAGTGACTAACCATCAAAATCTATGCAAAATTACCAACCCCTCGCACTGTTTGTTACCAGCTATATGCAACATAACAGATTACCCACCATATACCCCACCCTCTTGCTACATAAACAAAGACGAGTGGTGTTACCATGTAAAAGTAAATAGAGATAAAGAAAAGAGGAACACATAAAAACAATATAGGCAAATTACCAAGCTCAATATAGGCAAATTACCATGGTTCCTTGGTAGAAAAAAAATACATTTACTAATTCTTCAGAAAACTACCATGATGGAAAACTGTTATTTATCATGCTAGATTTCACTCATCTACCAGGTCAAATTGCAGGTGCTCAGACAATCAACGCAAACAACAACTTGCCCAGTGGTGGAACAAATGCATTGATAGAGGCGGGGTGTCCCGATCTTTCAATGAGATGATAACTATTGATTTGGTGGAGTCAATTTTGACGATCCGACTACAAACGTGCACGACGTTGCGCCTTAGCAATCGCTAAACCAATCTCCAGGGGAACGTACGTATACACGATGTAGAAATATGTGGAGCTGGGTTGGCTATATATGGTAGAAAAAGATTAGCAATAATCAATTCAGAGATGCAATGTTGAATAAACGCTCAACGACGGTACTGTGCTGGTCCTAGCCTAGACCAGACTAGAGACGCGAGCCTAGAACACTAATAAGGTCACGACGTAGCACAACTAGCATCAATGAAGAATACTAAATAGCTCTGGACAACAAGATATAAGTGAAAATCACAACGGCAGTAAAGATAATGATGAAAACAACTGCCAAGCAGGATATACAACAACTTTCTCTCCAACTTTCCTCTGAAAAAATTTGTGCCAATTTTTTGATAATTTTTTTTCAAGAATGGTATTGACATAAGATTTCAAACACAAAAGGAATCAGTCAATTCCGAGTTGATATGAGGAGTCAAAAAATTCTAAAATTGGCTTGAAAAACTGGAATAAACTATGTTCACGAACTTCGAAGGGCAAAAAGACCTACTTAGAAGCCGATTTTGAGGTGCGAAAAATTGAACTAGCTTCTGCAACTATTTAGACGCGGCTTGTCGCTAGTTTTCATTTGAGTACTCGTGGAGCCAAAACGGACGTCGTATGAGGAAGTTATGCCTGTTGTACTGAACAATGCACAAAATAGATTCCAATCCGAATTCAACTACGAGATTGAGTCTAGATAGATCCGAATTTTGTTATTTTTTCTCCTCTTTTTTTGTCCTCACACTTTTTTTTATTTTTCTTTCTTTTTTTCTCTGACTTTTTTTTTACTTTTTTTTCTTTCGTTTTTCTCTCTCTCCCTCTTTCCAAAACAAACTAGATAAGATGTAGATTGGACCAAGCAAAGATGGAAACGATCTCAACTATGATTATGACGATGAACGGTGGGTAGCACGTGGAGGAAATTGATGGATGGGTGGACAACGGAAAGGATAACGATGCAGCGGTAGCATGACTAATGTGAACAGAACTCGAAACTCTAAACGAACTAGACACTAAGACCAGCAACTCGACACGATGATGCAACCAATAATTCAACTATGCAAGCAATGAAAAGGTAATTGCAAAGGCTCAGACTGGCTTGGACAAAGGATGAATAGATCTAACTTTTTTGTGGCTTTTTCTTGAACAATAGGTAAGAAAATAAATCTAATCTAGGAAAAACTAGGAATTCTCACCGAGCAACCTGAAAACTGATACCACTTGATAGAGGCGGGGTGTCCCGATCTTTCGATGAGATGATAACTATCGATTTGGTGGAGTCAACTTTGACGATCCGACTACAAACGTGCACGACGTTGCACCTTAGCAATCACTAAACCAATCTTCCAAGGTTACTGACGATGCTGGAAGCACGGCCAGCCTGACCACGAAGGTCTATTCCTGCAAGCAATCGAAGAACAAGCAAGAATATGATAATGCAATCTGAATATTGCGAATATATATGAAGTATTGATAAAGGTGGGGATCCGAAAAGCGGTCTTGGTCTGGCCGCTGGACACAAACGAAGTACACGAAGTTGCAATGGCTAACTTTTAACTAAACAAATCCCAAGGAAAAAGCTACTAGATGGATCTACTTATATAGGAGCAAGGGGTGGCGGCCAAGGAGGTGGAAGGACGTCCCAAGGCAGCCTAAAACTAACCCTAGGTCGTACAAGGCTCATGGACCCAAGTGGAGGTGGTGCAACACCTTTGGACTTGTTGTTTGACTCGGATTCTACTGCAGCGTCAGATTGTTTTGTCGATATCTCAATGCTTCGGACGAATTTGAAGGTGATTCCAATTAGGTTGGAAAGATCACGAAATTTACTTTCCAACAAAAAAGAATCACTCAATTCGGAGTCCGTATGAAAAAGTTGTTAACGTTTTGAGTCAGGTATGTTTATGAAGTCTGAATCTGAATTCAGAACATGAGAGACTTGGACTCTATCTTCTCTTGGCCCAAAAGTGACGTGAGAGGACTTTTTGAACAGAACCTAAACTTCTCCTTTTCCCGTATCTTCATATGTGGATTGTACAAATGTCCCATACACCTGCAATTAGACAAAACACAAAAGTGTGTGAAGTATTTTTGTTCTGGATAACATAAATAGATTATTGAATAGTTTGCACTAGAATTCACCTGACAAATATGCATGTATGCAATATTTTTGGTCGTATCTAAGGTAGTCATGTCCTCATCATGTACCTAGTGCTGGAACAAATGCAAGCACATGAATTGGGAGCCTTGGAGAGCAAACAATAAGCGAACCTGCAACTCCAGAATCTGCTAGAATCGACGCTAATATGGAAGGCATCAACATGGAGGCATATTCCACACCTAAG